GCCTTCGGGAGGTTTCCCGGTGTAAGGCTGATAACGACTTGCAAAAGCTTAACCCTGGGGCCAGGTATTTGCCTGAAAGTTCCGTGTCCTTTTGTGTTCTTCGAAGTGTGCCGCTCCCTTGTCGCGTTTTAAGGCCGGAATAGCGAGGGTTTGGCTTCGGGGGTGTCCGTATGTGCCACAATAAGTGCTAGAAGACAGACCAAAAGTGATGGGTAATTAGTATGATATCCAAGGGTTAGTTACAAATGTATATGCTTCTCTTGGTGTTAGTAAGACTCTCTCGTAGAGCATGAATATTTGGATTAAATATTGATTTATTTTTCTTTGAGGCTTTTTTTCTTGTAGTTTCCTGATTTTTTTTTTCTCACCACACTTGTTCACTGCTGTCTGGAATCTGAGAAAAGTTTTCATCCTGATTGAGTTTGGAATTGCTTACCTTCTTGCTAGGAAGCAAGCAATCTGTTAACCAACTTCAACAAGTGATTGGTTAAATTAAAAAATAATAATCAGAGTTTATTTGTTGACCATCCATGCTTCTGTTTCTAATTTACAGCATCTTATGTTTAACTGATTTAAGTTTTTATTGCTTTGAAGTGCAATGTTTGGAGTTCAGTTTTGGTTTCTTACAGCTTTATGCATATGTAATTTTCTTTAAATGCTTTGTCATAGTTTTGTGAGGCATATTTTTCAAGTTATTACTTGCTTTTGTGGAACCACAGGGTAATACTGCAATAGTTAGCATCCGGTAGTTACACCGAAAAAAAGATAAGAACTACTTAAATCAGACTATATGTAACATGATATATTTGTTAATCTGTGTCGGTGACAGAATTCACGACTGTGTCTCTCAGAAGCGCGCCTGTGGTGCTTTAGTCCTTAATCTCATAGGGTCTCCTGTAGTAATTGGAGGACTTGATGGAAATGTAATATAAAGAAAGAAATAATATTAGTTTTATCATCAAAATACAATCCAATAAATCTGTCTTTACAGCCTCTTCTCTAAGATTTTAAGTGTTGCAGCTTCATGATACAAAGTGCTGGTTCAGTGTAAACTCACTTAGCTGTTTCGAACTTGTTCAAGTAACTTTGACAGGATTGCTTCAAACAGAAGTGCTGCTTTACCACAAGTTCTGTGTATGTTATGTGACAGCACACCCCAGAAAGCTAACTTGCAAGGATAACCTTATCTGGGTAACCTTGTCTTGAGGAGGAATTTGTAAAGGTTGGAGTCTTACATTCAAGAGCTGAGAAGGAGGCAGTGAGCCATACAAAATCATCGATACACAGCAAAGTATGTTTAAAGTTTCTGTTCTAATGTGTTTTCTCTTTCTGTCCCTCATAAACTATTAACCTATGAGGACAGCACAGGTGGGAATTCAGAACTGATACACTTCATACAGTGAAAGACTCATTGCAGGAAGATGTTAGTCAAAACACAATAGTCTTTCTCCACAATAGCAACTCGCTCTTTTAATGTTGAAACATTGATTGACTTATGTTTTAAAGTTTGTTAATTAATCCTTCTTGTGGTAGGATGAGATTTCCATGAGAACTGAAGAAATCTGTATTGCCCACTGCTTTCATAACCATTCAGACATGGGCTTGATGCAGTTGGGACGCTTGAGATGTATTCCAGAGCCGCCGACATTGATACAAGCTGTGCTGTTGCACTTTTCTGCTCCCATCATGGTTGTTGTGCCACCACTAGTGCCAATGTGACTGGATGTTAAACTGAATCAAGTAATTAATCTGGCTGTGGAGCAGGGAGAAAAAGCACCAATTCAATTTCTTGACTGGATCCTCTCATTCACCAGTACAAGGGAAAGGATAGGAACATGCAGCTGCCGTGCAGGGGAGAGCATTCCTTGCCCTTGAATTGGCCACCATGGAGCTGCACCCTTACAGTTTCAGTTTTATTCAATCTAGTGGTGATAGTCTGCTGCCAAAAGCCTTCTTTTAGCTTCCATGTGTGCTCATCTGATGTTTTCTTTAACAACTGCGTAACCATAGGCTGTTTATTGATAGTTTAGTATTTGTTGGCTCCTAAAGAGCAACTAGAGGAACACATTTATCCTCTGCTGTACTTAGTGGAGCAGTCCAGGAAGTTTTTTCTTTAAGAGTTATTGGTTCTTTCCC